CGCTGTATGACAACTGGGATCCCCAACCCACACATACTGCACACAGCCCAGCTTTGCCAAAATTGGCATCCCCAACCCACACGCAACACACACAGCTCAACTATGTCACAGCTGTGATCCCCGACCCACACGCACCACACACGGCCCATCTGTGCCACGACTGGGATTCCCAACCCACACACACTGTACACGGCCAGGCTGTGCCACAACTGGGATCCCTGACACACACGCACTGCACAAGGTCCAGCTGTATGACGTCTGCGATCCGCAACACATACACACACGGACCATCTGTGCCCCAACTGTGTTTCCCGACCCACACATACAATACATGTCCCAGCTGTGCCATAACTGGGATCCCCGACCCACGCACAACACATAGTGCCCAGCTTTGGGACCAGGGCCGGCTCCAGGCAACAGACGAGAAAGCACGTGCCTGGGGCGGCACATTGTAAGGGGCGGCATTCCAGCCAATCTTGGGGTGGCACATTCTGGCCACCCTGCTGTGTTTTTTTCTTTTTTTTTTTTGCTTTGGCAGCCCGGTCAGCAGCTCCGGCTCCCCACGCTCCGCCAGTCCCAACCCAGCCCTGTAGGGGCACGGACACCAGCTCGGGGGGGCAGGAACTAGCGATCCCCACCGCTCACCATGCCGCCGAGCTCCCCGGGACGCGCCACTCCCTGCCGCCCGCACCGGCCTCCGTCTCCTGTGCCGCTCTGAGCCCAGCCTGGCCGAGCCGCCTTTAGAGGAGCGGCTGAGCCAGCACCTCCTGCAGCCCCCGGGAGAGGCACCCCAAGGCCAGAGGGGGGAGCCCCTCTCGCCCAGCTGCGAGCGGGCTGCAGTGCCTGGTTGCCCATGGGTGGAGGGAGTGGGCGGGCGCTGCCCTTCACCCCCCTGTGAGCAGCCTTGACCGCCTTGCATGTGCTCCCTGCGGCTGCCGGGTTTTTTTTGCTTCGGCAGTCTGGCCGCCTTTTTTGTTGTTGTTGCTTGGGGCGGCAAAAAAGCTAGAGCCGGCCCTGTTTGGGACAACTGGGATCCCTGCCATACACATACGGCACATGGCCCAGTTTTGACAAAATTGGGATCCCCGACCCACATGCACCACACACAGCCCACCTATGTCACAGCTGTGATCCCCAACCCACATGCACCACACATGGCCCATCTGTGCCACGAGTGGTATTTCTGATCCACACACAGGCCCAGCTGTACCATGGTTGGGATCCCTGACACACAGACATACACACACAGCCCATCTGTGCCCCAACTGTGTTTCCCGCCCCACACACAGCACACAGCCAAGCTGTGCCACGACTGGGATCCCCGACCCACACACACCACCCAGGGCCCAGCTACGCGACAACTGGGATCCCCAACTCACATATACTGCACATGGCCCAGATTTGCCAAAATTGGGATCCCCGACCCACACACACCACCCAGGGCCCAGCTACACGACAACTGAGATCCCCAACCCACATATACTGCACATGGCCCAGATTTGCCAAAATTGGGATCCCCGACCCACACGCATCAGACACAGCCCAGCTATGTCACAGCTGTGATCCCCGACTCACAAGCACCACACACAGCCCATCTATGCCACAACTGGCATTCCTGACCCTCACACACCATACACGGCCCAGCTGTGCCACAACTCGGATCACCTGTATTTTAAATATCAGAGGGGTAGCCGTGTTAGTCTGGATCTGTAAAAAGCGACAAAGAGTCCTGTGGCACCTAATATAAGGTTTTTACTGTCTTTTAAAGAATCCTTATTGAGGTTGCAGGAACAAACCATTCCGATGTGTAGAAAGAATAGTAAATATGGCAGGCGACCAGCTTGGCTTAACAGTG